AGAATTTGAATATTACAATTTTAGAATTTATATACAGATACAGCCTTTTCTTAAAAATTCATTTAATTGAATTCACTACACTAATAATAATACCCAGAATTCATTCGGTCTTTCGTTCACTCGTTCAAAGAGTGAATGAATGACTTTGTCATGTTGATTTGAAGTTTAGCAAGCTTTTTAACCTGTATATTTGTGATTTTTACACGTAACTGTTTATAAAAGGTATAATAGAATAAATTTTAAAGATCCGATTTAAGCCATGTGAATTCTTTAAGAAAGTTATTTTTCCACCATTTATGTAAAAGACTTATTTTTTGTATATTCACCAACCTCTAGCCTTTTTAATTTAAGAAATTCCTAACAAAAGATAGGTTACACTTAATGCTATTTTGTTTTTCACCAACCTATAAATGACACCTAACGGTGCAGGTAGGTTTTAGTTTAGATGTTCCCTAACGCCAACTAACTCTTAGTTAAAAGATGGTTTAGGGGCGGCTGGTGAAATTATCTGCAAGTACGATTATTCTATTACACCTTATATTAATGTATTTTGATACCTAACTATAAAAGATTCGAAAAAACAAATGACAGGCTCAGGATTCGAACTGCACTGAAACCACTTGTGTTTTTTTTCAAATCTTTTAATTTAAATGCATCTATTTTGTATGTTTTGTTACAATTTTGTATTACTTTTTACATTAATTAATAAATATTTGTTTTCAATTGACTGTGCACTGCTTGATTCCTATTTAGGGTATAAGGTGGGTTTCTAGTGTTTTATAAAAGGGGTAGACAGAGGCGCTTTGTAAATTTACATATTGTGACTATTTAAACACATTTAGAAAACATTATCATGCACCATACACGAATTTAATCTACCATTATTACAAAAAATACTATTCAAAATAAAAAAAATAAATACAGCGTGAGAATTAAATCTAAGCCCAAACCAAATGGCCTCGAAGCAGGAGTAGGAACGAGGTGGTGTTTAGTCAGTAAGAGTCTGACACTCCCTCTCGCCTCACCCACGGCAGGAGATTATAGCATATTTACTGCAGGAGAATATTGCATCGTCTTTGTAATTCTCTTGACACCCCTGCCTACCCACTTATAGACTTACGTGTGAAGGTATTATATACATAGATATCTAGCATTACTAGTATTATTTTATTAGGTTCAATTTCATCAAAATATTTTGTTAGAGTAAGACACACAAACAAAAGTTTTCAAAGTATTGCTATAAGTACTCCTTCGTGTACATGTTTTTATCGGCTTATGCCCGAATACTGAAACGTTACTCAATTTTAAGTCGCGCTTAAGCATAGTTGTGTCTCTACAAATTCTTTATAAAATGACAGAGACAGCACGATATTTAAGCACGACTTAAAATTGAGTAACGTTTCAGTATTCCAGCATTACTCACGTAATTATTTGACGAGGAACTCGACTAGTTTCAAGCCATGCTAGAGGCTCATATTCATAAGCAGCATTCGGCGACGCATTACGCTGTAACATGGCTTGGAACTAGTCGAGTTCCTCGTCAAACACTTACGTGAGTAAGTCGAAAAACATAATAATTCATTTAGTATGTCTCACGAAGTTAGTAATAAAAATATTGTGACTCCTTCGATTCCCAAAAAGAGGTAATGGTTTATTTTTAGTTTCTATTATTAATCTCATAGACAATTTTTATTACAGTTCATATAATATACATTTGTAAAGAACAAGTTTTTATTGAGTGAGTAACTTGAATAACCATTCATTCCTTCCGTCATTCATTCATTCATTCATTCACTCATTCATTGAATGATTTCAACCAGCCGTCTTTCATTCAATCATTCACTCATTCATTGAATCATTTGAAAACTATTTAGTTTGTCGAGTGCTGTTATGCCAAAAAAATATTTGCAATAATTATTAATAATTATATAAGAAAACGATTACCTATACTAAGGAGAAATTATAGTCTCTTAACTCGTCGAGTACCGGTTTTATAGACACAATTAAAGAACAATGGGTCGCGGTCACCGGTGACCGCTTGGTGTTTGACAGTTTAAATAGGATATTTTGATGAAATTGAACTTCTATACATTATGTACTAAATAAATTTCGTTGTGTTAGTAATATATAGCAAATATGTATGTATATCTGTACATATGTACAACAATGTACATTGCATTTTGAAGTGTACTGCGTTATAATAGTCTTGCATTAAAATAAAATTCATTTTTGTATAATAACTATCGCGAAACATATTCAATTCATTCACGTTGTCACGATTTACGCCCGAATACTGAAATGCTACTCAATTTTAAATTGTACTTAAATATCGTGCTATCTCTGTCATTTCCCAAAGAATTTGTAGTGATAGAACTATTCTTGAGAGTGTCGTATAGTATAATTGAGTGGTGTTTAAGTATTTGGCTACCACCCATGTGACTGTGTGACGAGGTAACATGAAGCTGGTTGCAAAGAAACGAAACCACTGGCGTCTATTTCATGTTATCAAACCATCTATAACTTAAAAAAGTAGTCTTACATACATACATAACTTCACGCCTGTCTCCCATGGGGGAAGGCAGAGACAATTTTTTTTTTAAGGGTGGAAAATCATCGAATGACTGCTCCCGCCCGGGTGAGGCGAGAGGGAGTGTCAGACTCTTACTGACTAAAAACCACCCCGTTCCTTCTCCAGCACTTCAAACTGGAGCCCCGGTAACCCGTTAGGTTCTCCGCGGTAGGCAGAGACTATGGAACGCTAATTACTACGATTCCTACATACCTCTTTCGCTTTATCAATAGTCATCAATCTTTTCATGCATGAAGTAAGGTATTCTTTATAAAACAAAATGCTTTCATTTTAAAGGTAACTAAATTGCCTTTTATACGACATATGCTACCGATTGGGTACTTGCCAACTAGTCAAATTCAATACTTTTTTTCGAGCTGTCAAAAACGACAGTTTTCTATGAATTTTGTACGAGATTGTGTATTGTGACGTCACGTTGTTTTAGCGTCAAACCATATACTTATTTTTTTTTAAATGCTGGAATATACTAAAATCAATTTGGTCATAAAATAATCACACTCATTAATTGATTTAATTAACGAGTGTGATTATTTTAAAATATTTTATTGTAATGAACAGTCGAAATAACTTATTTTTCATTAAGGTAAATACCCAATTGTATCAGTTGTACCTGTACATTGTATTGTAGATACCAAATGAGTCAGAAAATATTTATCAAGAAATGAAATAGAAATACCACTAATAGCTTCGTTTCTTTGCGCCTACTTTCAAGCTAAACCAGGACCCATAACCATAAGCAGTATTGCACGACACACAACACGCAACCAACTGAGTCAATTAGAGCCCCCAGAGCAGCCTGAAACTCGTTGAGTTACCTCGACAAACAGTTATGTGAGTAACCCGCTAAACAAAATTAATTTAAATCAATAATATTCATATATCATCGAGACAATCATATTTTAAAGACAGAATCCTTACACATTTTATATGAAACTTTGCCAATTTGTGCCATATAGCTCGCTTGAAGAGTATTTAAAAAAACAACTAACCGAAATTCCTACAAAAATCTCAGTAAACGGTCAAAAGTTAATAAAAAAAAAACTAGTTTTATTCTTAGTGTGTGTGTGTGTGTGAAGTGATTAAAAAAATACTTTGTCATCTTCCTTATAATTCTGTCTAATGCAATAATAATAATTTGAATATAACTGAATTTTAACTACCTAGGATTTGTCATCAAAATTGATAAAGTATTTCATAATATTTATTGTACAATAAAAATTAATAATAATTACAATCAGTACTTAATTTATTATTTGCTATTCTTACTTAACTATCCTTAAAAATACATTCTTAACAGCTGGTTGTTAGCAACCGGTTACAAAAAAACCAAGCTGTAATTAGTTGGTACATGGTTGCTCTTAAAAAATCCATTCATTTTACACGTTTAAAGCATGGACTTATCAGTCAAATAGTTTTCCTTAAGCCACTAAAAACGTTGGTTATTAATGATTGGTTACTGTTAACCTTTGGTTACCTCATGTAACCTGCAGCAAATTCTTAAGCTAATGGTTTCAATGCCTTAGCAAATGGAAGCTCCATTCATAAAATGACTTTGTAGCTTAGGTTAAAATAAAACCATGAAAAACCACTGAAGTTTAAATTTGTTAACGGAAGGTTATAGAGTTCAAAAATAGGGCTTCCAGTCGCGTTAAATCGGGATAGAGCACGATCTTTAAAGCATACAGGATTCCGCGGGATTCGCTGGATAAAAAGTGGCATAAAGACGAATATAATATAAAGAGACTTGGAATGAACTTTGTCTTCAGATACAAATATGCTTGACACTTTAATAAAAATAGATGAACACGGTTCCCCCTAGGGGTTTTAGAAATCTTTATCATTTACGATTAATATTCTCGACCGAATACTGAAATGCTACTCAATTTTAACTTATACTTAAATATCGTGCTGTCTGTCATTTTACTTAGAATTTGTAGTGACAGAAGCATTCTTGAGAGCGTCTTAAATTTACGTTTGTGTATTTGACTATACGTTAGTGTTGAAGCTGAGATTGCGTCTTCGCTTGATTTCACAGCAGTATTTCTATGGTTCTTGATAATACACGTCACTTAATTATGAATAAAAATCAATGATTCTATTGAAATGCTTTTAAAAAAGGAAAAATAAAATTCAAAAATTGATTCGATTACTGCAATTTGTTGACTACTTTAAAAACAAAAGTTGTATATTTATAAAAGGATTTATTTTCGATTAAAATGGTATAAAAAAACATGTTTTAAACTTAATATACAGTTAAAAAATCACAATAGAAACTTCTGAAAATCAATAATCCAGCAAATACTGAGACGCGCGATTGGAAGCCCTATTAAAAACGAGTGGTTGCAGAAACCACTGATTATAAAATGAGTGGTTACAGCATAACGGCTGGTTGCTCGTTGATAATGGTTGGTTAAAACCTGCCCTGCTCTTTGGCTTCGGCTGCGAATTTCCTGACGTGTACTATGTAGTCTAACATTACTGTTGCAAATGCTGCGTCTAACACGAACTGAGGTATTTTACCTGGAAATTAAAAAAATATAATTTAATTGATTTTTAGTGATCTGGAAGTAATTGAGCGAGAGTGGCTAATGTGATGATAATAATACATTTAATATAATAAATAATGATGAAAAAAAGATGGCACGAGATGTTGTTTTTTATTACAATATCTTCGATTTTTCTTTTCCAATTTTTATTAAATTCTTGACCGTCACTGGAAGCTTTATTATTGAGAGAGCATATCCGTTTCCGGCGATTTCTTATCGATTTAAGTACTTTTTTGACCTACCCAGTGGCGCCACCTGGTGTTTGCTTGTCATTTTAGTTTTCGTAAAATGTCCGAGCAACATTTTGTTCATTGGCGTTTCGTTCTCCGGCGAAGCAAGTCGTGTACATCGGTTCACGACCTTACACTACAATATTCTTATCTTTTGTTCTTAACTTTTTTAACGGTTTTTCCGTTCGAATTATTATCTTTAAAACAGTTAAGTATCAATATAGTTCTAATTTAATGGTGAGTTAATTTTGAAGAACAACTGTAAGTACCTACCCTACTTTTAAAAAGTGATCAATACTTTTAACGGATTATTCCGTTCGATATTTTTTTTTTTTTTTACATGCTTAATGCTTTTAATATTTGTGTGTGATGACAATTTTATTATGTTTTAATTTGAAAGTGTCTTTTGTATTTTTTGAATGTGCATTTATTTGAAGGTTTTATTGTGATAATGGATGAACAAGTAAATGTTTCTGCTGCCGAACCACAAGTTGTGGCCGGCCCAAGTAAAAAGACCCGCAAAAGAAATGTTAGCAGCTCTAGTAGCAGCACGACCTCTAGTAGCTCTTCAAGCTCATCTTCTCCTAAACGTAGCAAGCGGTCACGCCGTTCTCGCCGCAAGAAGAATAAGCACACCCAACAGTCTAATTCGACCTTGGATAAGCTTATAAAAGAAGTTCGTGATCTACGCGAACAAGTTTTTGTTAATAATAAACATAACGCTTGCCATGATGAGGTATCAGATTGTTCGGGGGTCAGTGGAGAATTATATAACCAACATATTGAAGAACAATGTCCGGAATGCCCTAACGTTAAAGATCAAAATTCAGATTTAGACTTCACTTTTGATATCGAAACAAAGCTTAAGGAACCATCTGTTCCAAAAACTCCTGAAAACCTTTTAAAAATGTTACTTGATGTTCAGCATTTGGGTAGCACCGCCTGGTCTGAAGTTAGATATTCTGATACTCAAAAACTTTATAACCACAGTCCAGGTTTCATAGATTTGGACACAAATGAAGAGATTAAGACGTACGATACCTCACGTCATCTTGCACATGCCGATAAATCATATGCCGCAATTACTTTTTGCATCCTTAAACAAAAAGAAGCTTTACAAGAAGCTATTCGTAATCTTCTTCTGTGGGCTAAAAGTACACAAGTCGACTACGATAATTTAAGCAGGAAGGTCGAAGAATTATTTCAAAAAAGTGATTTACATAAAATCTCTTCAGACCTGATACAATTAGTTTGTGGCCATCGAGCCGAAAGTATAGAAATGCGTCGAGAGGCAATTACTAGTCAAATTCGAGACCCGTTAGTTAAAGCATCTATAAACAAAATACCCCCATCATCAACTCATTTGTTTAGTTCCGATTCCTTTGCAACAGCATTAGAAAAAGCTGGCGGTGTACGCAAAGCTTTTTGGCCTCCAAAAACAGAGTCTCATACCAGACCTAATCAAACTAACAGCCGCCCCTCGCGGGGGTTAGGCGTACAAAAACCAATAGCTTCATCGCGTGAAGCTCAGCATTGTATTTGTTGCCATGAACCAGGCGTACCGATACATATGCATACGTATGGTAACTCACCCTCGCGGGGTGGATATGTTCGCACCAACCATACAAACAAAGGCCACGGTCTACCCTCCTTTCAATCTGACCAGTATGCTGGTAGAGGTTCATTTCACAACCGTGGATCACGGTCCGATCGTGGAAGTAACCGAAGTCGAGGACGTTCAAACCATTCAAAAAGTTCTCGAGGGAACCAAAAACGATACAAACAATGACTCGAATCATTTTCAAGCGGGTCAGTTAGCTCACTACCGCTCGAAATGGAAGAAAATGGGGGCACCAGAAATTGTTCTAAAATTAATTCAAGGCTATCGTATACCATTTATCCACAAACCGCCTCTGATATACCCGAATGTAATAAACGGGTCGTTCCAAACACCTGTCTCACAAGAAATGTCTGCAATAATAAACAAAATGAAATCTCAAGGCGTTCTAAAAGTTGCTCAACCCTCACCGAGTTTCATCTCCCCTCTATTTTTGACACCAAAATCCGACGGATCAGCCCGACCCATATTCAACCTGAAAGCGTTAAACGAATTCGTGAAGGCCCAACCATTCCATTTAATAAATATGTATCGCATCCCAGACTTCCTACAACCGCAAGACTGGATGTGCAAAGTGGACCTATCACAGGCGTATTTCCACTTAAAAATTTCAAAATCACACAGGCGCTTCCTTCGCCTTATATACAACCAAGAACTGCTAGAAATGACCTGTCTTCCGTTCGGTTTAAGCACTGCACCGAAAACATTCTCTATGCTAACGAATTGGATTGCCCGAATACTACGAGAACGCTGGGACATCCGAATCATAGTCTACCTCGACGACTATTTAATAGCAAATCAAAATGTACACGTTCTTCGAGATCACGTACAACTCACATTAGATTTGTTACAAAATCTTGGGTGGCAAGTAAATTTCGAGAAATCAGTTCTTTGTCCTCAAAAAACTATAACATTTTTAGGCATATTGTGGAATCCCTGGGAAAACTTAAAATCCCTACCAAAAGAAAAGACTTCATCGCTTATCAAAAAGGTCAGTTCAGTTCTCGATCAAGGAATAGTAACTGTAAAAGAGCTGCAGAAAATAATAGGGCTCTTAAATTTTGCCAGTTACGTCGTCCCTCGAGGCCGACTCAATCACCGACAACTATTAATGTTCATGAACTCCCTACCAACCCACGTATCGAAAACCTACCCATTGCCACAAAATGTTCGAAAGGAGCTGGAATGGTGGACCTTGAATTGTCAGTCACCAACACCTCTGCATTACCCCCCGGCAATAAACTTCCTGACAACAGACGCATCAAACCAAGGTTGGGGAGCACAACTGAACAATTTGGCTGTATCGGGCAAATGGTCGCAAGAGGAAAAGGCATTGCATTCCAATCAAAAAGAAATGCTCGCCATATTTCGCGCCCTCCGAGACCACGCTCACCTACTCCGCAGCAGCTCGATCCTGATACAGTGCGACAACAGGACAGCTGTCAGCTATTTAAGGAACGAAGGAGGTACGAAATCACTACCCTTAATAGAATTGACATATCAAATTCTGAATTTATTGGACCAATTTCAAATACAGTTCAGCATACACCATCTCCCTGGCAAGTACAACAACCATGCCGACCACTTGTCACGTGTTCGCCGACCTCCGGAATGGCACCTAATGCCAGCTTGTACGGAAATGGTGTTTGCAAAGTGGGGAACTCCAATAATAGATTTGTTTGCATCAGAGACAGCCCACGTAGTTTACAATTATGTATCCCGAGACCTGAAAGACCGACAAGCTCTGTTTCACGATGCATTCAGTGTCCCATGGAACTATCCACTTGCATGGATATTCCCACCTCCGTTCTTAATTCCAAAAGTACTAACACACCTGAATCAATCAACAGGAATATTTTTAATAATAGTACCTCGATGGGAGAAGGTATTTTGGCGTGCAGATCTCAAAGTCCGCGCACTAGCTCCACCACTAACTCTGAAAGATTTACAAACGCACCTGGTCGACACATCGACGGGACTTCCACCACCACAAGTAGACAAAATCATCCTCGAAGTTTGGAAATGTGGGGGTGGTCCGAAGCGATAGAAACATGGACCCCTGAACAACGGTTATTGCTCAAAAATTCTTGGCGTAAATCCACATTGAAAACATACGAGGTAGCTTGGAAACGTTGGACTTCCTGGTCTATGTCTAAAAACATTGACACGAACAACCCGTCAGGTACTCAACTAGCTCAATTTTTATCTGATTTGCATCTTATTCATAATTTATCATATAATACGATTCTTTTACATAAATCTGTTGTTTCCACCTTATGTAATGCCGACAGATCGAATCAATTGAGTTCACATGTCCTTGTAAAGCATATTTTAAAATCAATTTCTCTAAAAAATCCAAAGTGTCCTAAGCCACCAATTTGGGATGTTAGTCAGTTAATCACGTATATAAGCAATTACACCGTAAACGTAAACAATCTCTTTCAAATATCACGCCATACTGCGATTATATTACTACTTTGCTCAGGTAGACGCATCCATGACTTAACGCTGCTTACAGTTGATCCTGACCATTATATTAGATCAGATGGTAGTGTTATATTATGGCCTCAATTTGGTTCAAAAACGGATTGTAGTGCTCGTAGACAATCTGGCTGGAAACTTCTTACAAATCCCAACAATTGTAATCTAAATCCAATATTCTGGATAGAGAAAACTATACAACTATTAAATGAAAGACGTAATGCTTCAAACTCATTTAATTTGTTTATTACAGTCCGAGGTGTACCAAAGCCTGCTTCACGCACTGTCATTGCAGGCTGGGTTAAAACCATTTTCAAAGAAGCTGGCATCATAGCTACTCCAGGAAGTACACGATCTGCAGTAGCATCTAAAAGTTGGCTAGAAAATCATCCCCTGGACGAAATCCTATCTCGAGGAAATTGGCAATCGGCTAATACATTTCAGAATTTCTACAGAAGAGAAGTGATAAGAAGTGATGATTCGAATCTAAATGTTACAGAATTGTTTAATCCAGTTAATTAACTAGGCATCAACTTTTTTGTTTTGTTTTGTTATTAGATCACCAATAGATCAATCAAGTAAATATGTGACTTTATGTTTGTAATAAATATATATTTTTTCTAATAATTTGTGTTTTTTTTTTTTTTTTTTTTTTTTAAATTCCAAATAAATTCTTATCACATTGGCGTTAGCACATTAGTGGCGTCACCAGGCGATAACAAACAGGTCTCAATAATAAAGCTTCCAGTGACGGTCAAGAATTTAATAGCAGCGTTTTACCTGAAATAAAACGCATATTAAATACTTACCTCACTGGAAGCTTTAGTTTTACTTCTGCCTGGTTATTATTGAGCCAATGAACAAAATGTTGCTCGGACATTTTACGAAAACTAAAATGACAAGCAAACACCAGGTGGCGCCACTGGGTAGGTCAAAAAAGTACTTAAATCGATAAGAAATCGCCGGAAACGGATATGCTCTCTCAATAATAAAGCTTCCAGTGAGGTAAGTATTTAATATGCGTTTTATTTCAGGTAAAACGCTGCTATTTAATTTTGAAACGTTGTCAGCCTCACCTAGGTTATTTTCCTGTATAGTCGACGCGTATACTAATAAAAACACATACCACATACAGATCCACTATCCAGATATACAAATTAAGCAATTTTACTTATTAATTTATTTCTACTTCACAAAAGATAACAGTGAAACAAAAGTCAACCATAGGGAAGTACAGAGAATGAAGTGGTCGACGCGAAAACCCAGAACGCAATTTATTATCAATTCTCAGAAAAGTTTAAAAATAACGACCATCTTTTGCAATTAATACAGTTATAAATATAGATAGTACCTTCTTTCTTTAGGAGTCAACAATTTTAGAACATTGCGGAAACTAATGACCCTAACAATCAAAAACGTTGTCTTACCTTTGAGATCGCAACACATGAGCCATTGAAAGACGGTGTGTGTTTCTATCTTGCCGCCCGGCGTCTGTACTGTACGGGGCTTTAGGAACCAACAACCCACCTTGTTTTGACCTCTGGAAATTAAAGAAAACCATATAAGTGGTTTTTCCCGACGAAGGGCGCGTCGCGATCCGCGCGCGCCTCAAAGAGCCATCAGACCACAACGGATGGGGCCCAATAGAGCTGATGCCAATAAGGAGCCGCGGAGAACATAACGGGTTACCGGGGCTCCGGCTCGAAGTGCAGGAGTAGAAACGGGGTGGTTTTTAGTCAGTAAGTATCTGACACTCCCGCCCCACCCAGGCGGGAGCAGTCATTAGATGATTTTCCCCCCTTAAAAAAAAGTGTACCACTGACAAACAGTGAAGGAAAAATTTGTAAGGCAACCTGGGCTTATAATTTCTAATTACAAGTTTGAAATCGAAATTTTGGGGATTAGGAATTAGAGGATTGTTGGGAATTCAAGGTTTGGGGAGATTGGGGAAGGGGGGAAGTCCAGCTAAAAATAACCACTTCAATACTTAACAGGTTGCCGTGGTTCCTGCTCGCCGCAGAAGTAGGTACGGGGTTGTGTTTAGTCAGTAAGACTCCCGCTCATCTCACCCAAGGCGGGAGAAGTCATTGGATGATTTCCCTCCCTCAAAAAAGGGTGTTCAAGGATTAAGGATTTGGGGATGAGAGGATGATGATTCAAACATTTTAACTAACCTGACAAGATCCCTATGCGGCGGATACCCAGGCACAGTAACACTGACTCCACTACTGATGTAGCTGTACGGGTCTGTCGTCACGACCTGCCCTTCCTTGTTCAGTGGCGCAGTGCACCGAAGTATCACGAAGTCTCGAGGAGCAATGATACCACGGCCACCGCCGGCTGTCACCTGGTATGACAGGTCTACGCCTGGACCTACTTCCTGGAAAGAGAAGATGGGCAATGAGTTTTGAACAGTTCATAATGTTGTTTATATGAATGAATGAGGAATGAGTGATTGAATGAATGAATGATTGAATGAATGATTAAATGAATGAATGATGAACGAATTAATTAATTGTATTGCATAATGTTTCTTTCCCTTTCTTGGCTATCTTCGAAGAGATTGACACTGAGTCTTTATTATAATTTGTAGATTACACAAATACCCGCTACACCAGAGGAGTTACAAGTACGTGGACCCCTGTTTGGAGTTTGTTTTATAGACCAGCGTTTGACCACTATCTTGCCTGGTGGTGCCCAAAGATGCGGCTTACGGTGGACCACGGCTTCATAAGCAACCTATTTACTCGGGCCTTGAAGACATTCTTCAGGAAACAGGATTACATACGAATAGGCCGGTGCGACGGAGTGATACCACGGTCCACAGCCGAGCAGAAAACCGACGTGAAGCAACGCTTGCGTTGTGTTTCATCGTGTGAGTGAGGTTACCGGAGGCCCAATTACCTCCCCCGGTTTCCCCAATCCTCAAATTCACAATTTCCAAAAGGTCGGTAACACACTTTGTAACGCCTTGGTGTTTCAGGTGTCCATGGGCGACGCCGATTGCTTACCATCAGCTGATCCGTCTGCTCGTTTACCTACTTATGCCATAAAAAACACTGATTTAAGATTAGAGAATATTATGCAAATAATAAAATACTTTACCTTTATAAGTTCACTCTTTAATATGGTAGGGTTCCACTCAGGTAGCTTGGTAATGTTGTCTTTAAACTCTTCGTACAAAAACTTGGGAGGAGCTTCCACTATGCCCTGGAAAAATTAAATACAAACATATTTTGTAGCAAAATTTTAATTGGACTACCTCGTTGGCCGAGTGGTCGCAAGTATGACTGCCGGGCAAGGGGTCTCGGGATCGATTCCCGAGCTGGGCAAAGTATTACTGGGTTTTTAAAAAAATCTCAGTAGTAGCACGGAGTCTGGAATTGTGCCCGGTATATGGCAATAGGCTCACCCCCTAATAGTGAAAAGTGGGTGTTACATTGTACAGTGGCATAATGTGCACCTCTGCCTACCCCTTAAAAGGCGTGATGTTTATGTATTTTAATTTCATATTATATACAGATAAATAAAATTGGAGTGTCTGATTTTAATATAAAATAACCGCTTTTTACTTCATGCATAGTGTACAATATACATACGATACACATAATATCAAAATAACATTTTTTTACAATTTTTGTCTGTCTATTTGTTGACTAATCTTTGTCTCCGAAGGGGTAAGTAGATGTGTACATTACGGCACTTAAAGCCACTGTACAATCTAACACCCACTTTTCACTATTTATGTTATGAGTCCCATGTAATAGGGTGTGAACCTATTGCCATATACCAGGCACAATTTCAGACTCCGTGCTACTACTGAGATTTTTTTTAAAACCCAGTAATGGGTACTTTGCCCGACCTGTAAATCGAACCCGAGACCCCTTGCCCAGCAGTCGGACTAGCAACCATTTGACCAACGAGGGAATCTAATTGGATACTTGCCAACAAGTCAAATTCAATACTTTTTTCGAACTGTCAAAAACGACAGTTTTCTATAAAGTACGAGATTGTGTATTGTGACGTCACGATTTTTCAGCATCAAACGACATAATTATTTCTTAAAAATTTACTGGATAAATACTAAAATTAAGTTGGTCATAAAATCAATGAATGAAAGTGTGATTATTTTTTAATGTTTTATTGTATTGAACAATCGATATAATTTATTTTTGATTTAGTAAATTACCCAACTATCAAAACTATCTATGTACATTGTACATAGATATAATCAAACTAGAATAAAGGCAGACTTTGAAACAATGAGGTAACTCGTACAAATCACATGTAATCCGATTAAACAAGAATTAATTACTGATTAATATTGAAACAATTATCTAAATCCGTGCTCAGGAGTCGAATTCATTAATTTTGATAAACCTTTTTATCATGGTATAGGACATTGTTTAATCAAATTTTCAAGTAGAACATAGAATTACATCATTTTTTTATTTATTACTAGCTTCTGCCCGCGACTTCGTACGCGCAATCCCGTTTTTCCCCGTTCCCATAAGATTTTCAGGATTTTTTTCTATGATAAGAACCGTCTTCTGACTATAACAAACACAACAAAAATCAGCCAAATCGGTCCAGCCATTCTCAAGTTATGGCGTGACAATGGGAAACGGGTTTAATTTTTATATATACAACATGTAACGTAATTAACGCACACCCTCAAACACCCCAATTAGAATATTATGTTTAATCATAATACATACACTATTTTTTTTATTTAACATGTATATGCATCCTTACTGGTCTTGTCATAAGGTTTATTTTTCTTTATTTTGTATTGAATGATAGAATTTGTATGAATACAAATAAAACTGCGGTTTTAACAGTATTATTGCTTTGACTGACGGTCCATTTCGATTTGTTTTTACAATACAGGGTTAATATGACAATAATTTCCATAGTTTTAATTATTTTTGGGATAAATAATTACCTATACTAAAAATTATATACATCGATTCAGTTAACGACTCGGAACAAACTATTTTCAGGATGTGCGTTATTTAAGTTACATGTTGTATAGACAATCACAACACGTACACAGTCATGACTACTGAGTGCTGTGTAAAGGGGTGTTTTATTATTTATTAGGCTTCTTTTGTGGGGGGAAATCATTCCGTTCTTACGCGTGCTCTTCGAGGCTGAGCCTCGGTAACCCATTGGGCCTTCCGCGGCTCCGTATCGGGCATTTGCCCTACTGGGCCCCATCTATGGTGGTCTGATGACTCTTTGTGACGCGCGCGGTACGCTCAGCGTGTACGCACGTGTCTGGTTCTGGTCCAGCAGCGAGTTACCATTGCTCGCCGTCCGCAGACCCGCACTTACGGTAGCCGGAGATCGTCGCGTGATCTCCGACACCCAAGGCTGGTTTTAGTCTGACACCGATGCTGTCAGCGCTAATGAGATATATGAACTTCTAGGAAGCGTTTTTGAATGACAGCGCTCAGCTTTAGTCCGTTCACATCTCTGACAGAGGTGGAATTAAAAAGGGTAGTAATAAAAGCTCCGACAAGAAAAGAAGAATTGTCCTTACTGCAAATATAGATTTTTTTTTATACAACGTTGCCCCACGCTAGGATTTTCTCCTGTGTCGTGGGTGCGTTTACAAACATACAATTTCATATACACATCAGATCACACCCAGACCCTATTAAATCTACTGCCTAAAATACTAACTTTCCGACTACTTTTGTCCGATCTGCTCCGACAAGAAAAGAAGAATTGTCCTTACTGAAAATATTAAATCTACTGCCTAAAAAGTATTTTAGGCACTAGATTGTTAGGTTAGAGTTTTAGGTTAGTAAACCTAACCTAAAACGTCTGTTGTCGGTAACTTACGCCGGAATACTGAAACGTTACTCAATTTTAAGTCGTGCTTAAATATCGTGCCGTCTCTGTCATTTTACAAAGAATTTGTGGAGACAGAACTATACTTAAGCGCGACTTAAAATTGAGTAACGTTTCATTATTACGACATTAGTAATTTTGTCGGAGGTTCAATATTCTATTCGGAAGTTTAGTTTTGTTATTCGAAGATCCATTTTTATAGTCGGCCACAGATCGCTGGAGATTTGTTTTTCGGAACCATTATTATTTTCCAATTAAAAATGTTAACCGTTTAAAACATTTTATTCAATTTCTGTGGATATTAGAATACCTAACCGCATAACTGTAACTATCAAACGTAACTAATAATATTATTAAACCTTGGCTATCATTGTGCCGATAGTCGTGTCGGCTAATGGGTTAATCCCTAAAAGCCTCGACATCCATCTCAGGAGGCTGGCGTTAGGTTGATGGATCAAGGGCCTGATACAGAAGGCAGTTCTCCTAGAAACGGCACGTATCGTGAGGAGGTTTCTGTCTCTGGAGCCATAACCACCGGTAGCTTGGACCATGCTCCCGCTACTGGTCGGCTCCTATTTTGTAAGTAGTATTTAGAAATATAATTTATAGAGAATTTTAAATAAATCCATGGAAATATTAAACCCCTTCCCTTCGCAGTCGACGCAGCCACATACATTATGTATAGATACTCACAGTAAACCTATAAACCTTCCCGAACTGTTCAGTCTTCTTGGACTCGACGAGGTCCCCCTTAGCACCCTTCTTCTCAACGCTCCAGTTCGACAGGTTCACTATACGCCACGCATTCTGCATGCTTTCATGCGCCTGCGCTTTATATTCGTCTATCTGTGGACAAGGGAATTACGTTTTTAGAAAATGTTTGTAGGCATACTAAATTAATTAAAATATCGCGGGTTACTCACGTGAATACGATAAGCTCTACTAGTTTCGAACCACAGAGGGGTCCTTCCTCCAGACCGAAACTAGTAGAGCTTTTCTCAGTATATTCACGTGAGTAACCCGCGATTTTAGTTAATGGTGATAGGGTTTAAAATTGAGTACCTACTGAGTATTTTGGTTAAGATTTTGAAAACTGTAGACAATTAGTACATAATATAAAATTACATATTTTATTTTAATCAAGAAAGGGATAAGTGTATGGTGATTTACATAGAAAAATTGTTCGGCAATAAAAACGGACAAATAACGTAAACATTCATCATAGCTACAAGTTTTAGTTTGCAAGTGTATAATAATAACATAGAAATAAGTCTCCGTGCGAGAGAAATCTCCAAAAATAAACAAGTGATATAGGTACGTTGTAGTAAAACTGACAAACACCGCGAGGACACCGGTGACCGCAACCTATTGTTCTTTAATTGTGTCTATAATGACGGTACTCAAAGGGTTAAGGTCCTAATGATTACTAATAAACTATTTAAAAAAAACTGACTTCAACCCCATCTTTTGTGAAGTCGGTTGGTTAATGTAAAACCCTCTCCTTGGTGTAGCAAACACTTTTCAGATAACACATCAAAATCGGTTCAGCATGTCGCGAGATATTAGCGCACAAACATATATTACATGTCAAATTAAGAATCCTTTAAATATCTCCTCTAAAATTTTTGAAAAGTATATTTATAACCAATTATACACTTATTTAGAATCTAATAAACTACTATGTCATGAGCAAAAAGGTTTCAGAAAAAACAAAAGTATCAATTTGGCTATATATGATTTTTACAAAACAGTGCTGACAAACGTTGATAAAAGGACTCCCATATGTGCCATATACTGCGATATGACTCAGGCTTTTGATTACGTGGACCATCAAATACTATTAAACAAATTAGAATCTTATGGTATACGAGGCAGTATTCTGGATCTACTAAAATCATATCTTTCTAATAGATCTCAGATGACAACTATATCTAAGATTAATATTATGACTAAGAATCAAGAATCTTATTTGTCTGAGTCGCGTAGCATTACTTTTGGTGTGCCACAGGGCAGCGTACTGGGTCCGCTTTTATTTATCATTTATATAAATGATCTGCCTAAATTTACCACCCACCCAATGTCGCTTTTTGCAGATGATAGTACTGTATCTGTACAGTGTAAGACAAAAGAATTATATCAAGACGACATAAACAATTGCTTGGAATCAATTATTAACTGGCTAGATAATAACAATCTTAAAGTAAACTTATTAAAAACTCAAGTTATGCACTTTAGCCAGAGACCTCAGCCTCATGATATTCATATAGATTACGATAGTAACCCTATACACGAGGTAGAATCAGCGCAATTCCTAGGCCTAACTATCGATAGGCAGTTGAATTGGAAGGCGCATATAGCAAAATTATGCAAAAAGGTGAGCAGTTCTGCATATGCTATGTACAGATTGGCCCCAGTAGTGAACATCGATGCTTCACTCACGGCCTACTACGGCCTTGTTGACTCTGTCTTACGGTATGGAATAATCTTCTGGGGAAACTCAACAGATAATGCGCTGGTTTTTAAGGCCCAAAAACGTTGCATACGAGCCATGTTTCACCTGGACTCGACTGACTCTTGTAAACCGTCCTTTATAGCACATAAAATTTTAACACTTCCGTCATTATACATATTAGAGACAGCACTGTTTGTTCATAAAAACCCTCATCTATTTGAACAAATTTCTGATGTGGTAAAAAGAAACAGGCGCAAAATTAATAGTAATAGACTGTGTCTGCATAGTGCAAAAACTACTCTGGCACGAAAAAGCGTATTATGTATGGCGCCAAAAATATATAATAAAATTCCTAATGATATTAGAAATTGTAATATAAGATTATTTAAAAATAAATTGAAAATAATTCTGGCCAAGAAATGTTATTATACTATTCATGAATTTTTAAATGAAAATAATTTTAATATGTAATTGTATCTCATATTATTCTTTAAATTAAATTAAATGTATACCTAATTGACTTGACGTTCACTTTGATTAACTGACATTTTTATGAAATTTTTATTTATCTAATACTAATTTGATTATATTGTAAAATGACTCATTCGTATTAATGTATTTCATTTAATAATACTTTTGCGCGCTGTGTTCCACGGCAAAACATGCTGTACATAAACATTTTATTCAACATCTTGTTACCTACCATGTTTTGTGCAAATAAATGATTTGATTTGATTTGATTTGATTTGATTTATAGAAGCCGGATAAAATACAAATTATCAAAAAAGATAACTTTGTCTGAACGTGGTCTGAACGCTGATAAAAATCAATAATTTCTAATCGAAATTGCGCGATAATTTAGTCCTAATTACATGCACACAATTATTATTAAACCAAACTTCATTAATCGTTTTGTAATCTTTATGAAATTAAAAAATAAACGCTACATGTGTTGCTAAGCCCAAAATTCGAAAAGGTTTACAGCATCTACTTTTGTTTTGTTTATGTCCTTTGTATAGTCATAGTATAAAGAAAGTCATCTCCTAAGTGTAACAAACACTTTTCTGAACACCGCATCAGAATCGGTTCAGCTAATCGCGATACAATCGCACAAACATACATACATACAGATAAAACAGAGAACCTCCTATTTTTGAAGTCGGTAATAAAATACTAGGTAATTACCCAAACAGTAAATCGAACACGAGACTCCATATTTGGCTGTCACGTTTACTTAAAATCTAAAATAGGTTTTTATCTAATCATAGCAACAATATACTATGTCAACCTGGTAACATACAAATAGTATTTATCTATAAGGTCTATATATTCAAGGACAACATCTGCAATCAGATTTGTTTTTCTTGATTACATATAGATTTATATATGTTATACATAATAATTCATTATGATAACATCTTTGTGTAATAACTATCGTGAAACAGATTAAATTGTTGAGGTTACTCGACTGGTTTCAAGCCACGCACGGGACCCTTAATCTAGGACGGAGGACAACTGACGCGACAGTTATGTGGGCAATGGCCGTTTCTACCAACCACCCATAAACCATATCTTTAGAGAGCACTTAAACTAAACCCTGTAGGTACTGTTAAGTGCCACTTAGCTTAGGGGTTCATTAAAATTTAAGATAGGTTGGTGAAAGATAGTATAATTAATGATACAATGTCGCATTTTTCATTCGTTTATATTATACTAGCGACCCGCCCCGGCTTCGCACGGTTGCAATGTGCATGTATTATACCTATAAACCTCCCTTAAGAATCACTCCATCTATTAAAAAAAACCGCATCAAAATCCGTTGCGTAGTTTTAAAGATCTAAGCATACATAGGGACAGACAGACGGCGGATAGTGACTTTGTTTTATACTATGTTAAAGATGTGTCCCACTATAACTTATTAGTACAATTTATGTTGTTAGTAACGCTCTAGCACTGATTATTATTTTATCTGTGTTTAGAATAGATAACATAATATTCTACAGCATTAATTAAAATAAGTCTGTTTGTATTTAAGCAAATACGATAATTACGTCTTTTAACCTACTTTGCATATAACATAAGTGTACAGTCTGTAGATAGACATAGAATACCCGGTGCCCCTTACAGGTGCTGAGGGTGGCCACCGGGGTGGTTTTTGTGAGGTAAGAATCCCACACTCCCTATTCTTTCTCCTCAAAAAGCTAGGCGCCTTTTGAAGGTTTCCCCCCGACATCAAAAAAAAGGGTAGACATAGAATACGGTATTTGTCAATTAGTCAGATTCAATACTGCCTGCTAGACTGCCTCAATGGCCGATTGGTCGGAAGTGCGATAGCTGGGCAAAGGGTCTCTAGTTCGATTCCCGGGTCGGGCAAAGTATTACTGGGTTTTTTTTAAATATCAGTAGTAGCACGGCGTCTGCAAATGTGCCCAGTATATGGCAATAGGCTCACCCCCTATTATATGGGACTCATAACATAAATAGTGAAAAGTGGGTGTTACATTAGATAGTGGCATAAAGTGCCGTAAGCAATGTGCACCTCTGCCTACCCCTTTGGGGACAAAAGGCGTGATGTTTTGTTTTATGATATGTTCAAATTTAATACTTTTTTTCGAACTGTCAAAAACGACAGTTTTCTATGAATTTTGTACGAGATTGTGTATTATGACGTCATGTTTTTTAGCGTCCAACAGCATACTTGTTTCTCAAAAATTTGTTGGAAAAATACCAAAATAAAGTTGGTCATAAAATCAGTTGATGAAAGTGTGATTATTTTTTAATATTTTATTGTATTGAACAGTCGAAATAATCTATTTTTGATTAAGGAAAGTACCCAATTACAGACAAAAAGATACTTTTTACTAATTTTAACCGACTTCCGAGAAAGGAGGAGATTTTAATTCATTCATTTGCTATTCTGGGTGGAGACTGGAGTATCTTGTTCCTCATTCGAATGGGGGCTGGATAGAATGAAGGAGGACTGTCAGACTCTTGCTTTTTAAAATCTACCCTGATATTCCACACAGACACAGATTTTGGGAATGCCTGACTAGTTTCGAGCTTAACCGGAGTCCTTACTTATGGGCTGCACACGCAGTTTAAACGAATACTTATTTCATAAGAGAAATAAATCTATATCGTATCGTATGAGAGACGAAACTGACACATTACGTAGATTACAGCCATCCAGTGTTTTCCTAGGATAGGCAGAGGACCAACGTCGAACGTGGAAAACGCCGTTGGTTACACATTTGTTCAAACTACCTATGTATTGTGTCATAATGTATCATGTAATGTGTCTAGGGTTGCCACCTTTTATTTTGGTATTTAAAGTACATTGACGATTATAGGTAAGAAAAAAAAGTACACAGTACAAAAATAAAGTACAATTTAT